TTCAAATTAGATAAGGTGATGTACAGCAGCTGAATAAGGTCGCAAAATACGACCCGCATCATGACACACAAGCATTCAGTGAGACAGCTAATCAAGACACAGAGCTGTTGACCAAACTACCGGTGTCAAGTTCGTGACCCGCATTTGATAAAACTCAAATCGCTGATTCTAAAGGAACAAATAGATGGAATTGTATCAAAGTGAGGATATGTCGATAATATTCATTGAAACGTTTACCGGGTTCTTATCAGCTCAGCTGTGGATAAATCAACCATTAGTCAAGCACTTTGACGCGACTGTTGTGTTTCAGAAGAAAGCGACCAACAGAATGAAGACAAAACATCAGGCAAATTGACAGTATGGTTGATTAGTTATAAAGACAAGGGGTCCTGGTTAAGACAGCACGTTCCCTGTTTGCTTAAGCGGTTGTCCTCAGGTTTTGTGCTTACCGATTAGACAACTGCATAGCTTATTTTAGGTATGATACGAAACTTAAAGCTATACCCAAACTACGAACCCGTTTCTCTCCTGTACGATGCGTAACCGCATTTACATTCACGCATTTTTTTATTCTACCTTTGAATTAGAGCGTTTATTTGCCTCATTCCATCGCTGAGATAGGAAGATGTTTGTTTCCCAACGCGCAACAGAACCCGATGGGGTGGGAGTGAACATCGTAGGGTTACTGGACTACTATGCAACACTAGACCACTGAAATTCCCAGGTTCCTGTTCGATTCTTCTTTCAACCTTCCTGTCCTTATGGTACTGTTCATCCAAATTGGCAGCCAAAAGACAGCAACGAGAACCGGTGCACGAAATTGCGTGGTTATTGGTTGTTCAAACTGAATTGAACTCTTCTAGGGGATATTGCTAACTTCCATCGGTTGGCCTCCATTACGATGTTCACATTGTAATGCAGTCGCAACCAGAGTTGTCGAAGTGGGCCCGTGTGTACCTCGGCAATGAGCACACCTATTAGAGAGAACCAGATGGATCGGTGACCGGATTCCAGTGGACATGACTGGAATGTGTTAGTGCTTACATGCTTGCACTGTTGTGATATGGTCGCAGTTAGCGCCTGTCCGTCACTCACTCGTGTGTAGAATGCCTTCAGTCAGCTGATTTACTGAATGATCTCGGGTGTCCATTATCAGATATCCTTCAAAGTGAGTCTCCCAACGACTCTCGAGATCCTAAGCAAAGATGAATCTACATCTGTTCCGACCTTATTGGGTCTCGCGAGCTAATCCATCGAACCAAATGAGATCAAATCCAGGACCTCCTAAGTAAAGTACTACCGTACCATCGACTTGACCTCCAGGCAGCTTTTCAGTTCGGTGCTCGACCCTTAGTTTAATTTGATCGATTTTCACTGATAAACACTGACTGAACACGGGGCAGACTGCAATGCAGTGCTTTAGAGCCTTATAGGTCATGTTTCTTTCCGTTTGTATGTAAAAGAATTTACGACGAAAGCGAATGAAATACTTTACTGTATCATCACAACAACACTTAAATGTAAATTGGAGATTCTAAAATGCGAACATGGTTCCAGGTAGTTCAGAAACTTAACAACAGATTTATTTTATTTTCATAACATTCGTGAAGCCTGAATAGCGAATAAGAGGACAGGGTGAGTGTATTTCGTTCACGGGGTGTGAACGATGTAAGTGTTCCTGTTCTCACTGAACACCTAATGATTGTGGCAAGAGTTGCACAGAATGAGAAATAAAGACTGAATGCGATTTAGCAACCAAACATTTGCAAGATCTGCTCACGAAGCTGACAACTCACAGCAGTGCGAAAATGACCATTTAGGTATACTATGTTTACCCACACCAATTCTTTAACGCAGTTGGCTGAAGGATTTCATATTTAATTTCTGCGCAGTTTTCCATATGTTTAGCATGTCTAACAGACAAACATATCTGGCATTCATCAACTGCTTCACGTTTTGCACTCAAACTATAGTCTCAATTGTTCTAAAGAGCTAACACTTTGTATCTCGAGGAATCCAAAACCCCAAAGTAAATCAGTATAATGAACTGTTCTATGGATCAGTGGATTGAAACAATAAAAGAAACAATACACACACCACACAAACACGTTCCGTTACTTTCCTCTTTTGAAAAGCCTAAAATAATCAGAACCGGGACAGTGGAAGATACACATATGCTCACAACGAATAGTAACAGAAAACGAAACAATGCTTGTCAAATATTAGTCATATTATTATTATTACTATTATTCAAATAAAAATACAATGAAAGAGAGCCAAACATAAAGAGCACAGGGACAGAAAGGCAGCCAGGCACACAGACAGATAAACAGAAAAGTGAAATAAAAGCACCCTAGCGATCAGTGTCTCATTTCGGTTTGAGAACTGTTTCGGTTTCTTTTAGCGAAATTTTTGCTAAAGTATGATGAATGTGAGAAGTCTAACGACAGTGAGAAAAGACTGAAGGATGATAGAAAAACCGGTAAATAATAATAAATAACTCGCTGACCGAAGACAAATGACGTCTGACTGAGGCAAAATAACCGGTGGAGAAAACTGGCACCAATCAATATCTCCCAGATTATAGCACTAAAAATCGGTTCACCTCGTGATAATGAAGTAAATGACACCAAAACCAAAGCAAAACCTTTTTCTATATCACACCACGTTTGTATTTTCGATTGATGTACAATAGATTGACCACATTAGATTCAAACAAGCGAGAATCTGTCTGCATGTTCAACTGGCAATTTGGTTTCCTATCGTCAAAGAGCTTGCCCATTCAAAATATAGGAACCCCGATGAAACTCGTTGTTAACAAGGTGAAATCAAAAGGTGTGGAACGGATTTTATCAAATCACAAAGCGAAAGAGGATAGCACTAGGCTTTTAATGAAACTTGAGGTGTCACTGTTATCAGTAGTGAGAACCACTCTTATTTCCTGTCACACCGAATAACATGATCCACTCACTTGTTTCTCCGCATTCGACAGTAAGACCGCTTTCAGTCGAGCGTCCTCCTCTGCGGAGGCAAGCTTTTGCCGCAGCTCATTTGTCTCTTTATCCACCGAGGCCTGTTTCTCTATCAATCGTTGTTCCAACTCTTTGACCGCAGTCTGACAGCGTTCCATTTCGTTTCTCAATGTGTCATACTTTCGTCGCCAGTCCTATCGGATGAGAGAAATAAGTTGAGAAGGTGAAGGGAATCAATCCATCAAGTCGGGGTAACAGATGTGTTGTCCTAGTTTGCTACAAGTCAGAATGCGATTTTTCAGTTCACGCATGGTTATGCAAGACATCTCCGCTTTACCGTGTAGCGACGATAAAAGTAAAATAGACACTGGGGCGATTAGTCTTTAGAAAAAATCAAAGGTTTTCTCTTTCCATAGGTCAGTTGTCATAAGATTTAATGGCACTAAAACTGTTGACTTTTGATTAGTTAGATTCTCATGGTTGTCCAATTTATTTACACATGATGCGTAACCTTAGATGCTCGTAAAAACTACGTTGAGTATAATAAACGTTCGAAGTATAAGACCAGAAGTCAAATGAACATCCAGACAGACTAACAATCCTACTTACTCCTGCAATATGTATTTCCCACTGGCCAAAGTATTTGGAAAAATTAAATCAAACAATCATTTTTTATGTGCACAATTCTACCTCGCTGCGTATTCTAAAGTAGGTGGATGTACTAGGGTTTTAGAACCAGAGCCTACTCAGCGAAGCAGCTGGTCGGTTTGAGGAAAACTGTACTTTGCAAGCCAGTATCAGATAAGATAGATAGGACAATGTTCTCACATCCGCTGTGCCCAAACGGCGGATGATATCTTCCCGATATGGAACACTGGGTACAGTTCGTACCCATTTTCTGGGAACATTTGAAATCCACCTTTTTCAACAACCTAAGATATACTTCTTACTTGTGTTTATTGGCTTAGCGTTGGCCACAAATGTTGGCTTTTCCCCTGCTTACCCAAGTGAGAACAGCCCACTTAGGAGAACGAAACAAAGAGGGTTTCGCCACAAGATACCTTAAGCGACACTCTGTGAACATATTTTTCGGGCCCAAATGAGGCCCTGCTCACAGTCAAACAAAACGCAGCTCTTGAATCCTTTGTACTACAGGGGCGACTTCCCGAAATGAGTAACTTTACAACTTCGCGAAAAGTTCCACAACAACCGTCTTCGAAATCGGCTGGGCAGAGATCATCGGTATAAGAATATGCATTCAAACAATTCTATCATTGTAAGGATATAGAGCTTTTGTTTGAATCTTTACCATGCTTTCTACCAGTTTACGCCTATCTAACTAGTTTCAATAGTTACAAACATATCTCTGGGTTTAGGTAGATCTGCCCTGAGCCTCATAGAATTGCTCTCTAACAGACACCTTGCTATTGCTTTCCAATTTGTTCAGAGGCACATGTCAATCACAGACAGTCCTATGGATTGTCATAAGCCATTTCCGATGGATCAATGACAGACTTACTTTCAGCTGAATCATTGATTGGTTGAAAAAAAATAAACATTCATGCTTACTATGATCATTAACCATCAGCAAAATTCATTGGGCTGATAACATCTTTCTCTCTGCTAGGCATTTTATCAGGCAGTATACTTCTCTATCAGTAACGTTTACTCACTTCGCCTGAGTCGATAGCAGTAGATAAATGGGTGTCACTGACTGAAACCATTGAGTTTCTCAGAAGCAAAACGCTTCACGCGACCCAATAAATGGTTTAGACACATACTCGCCATAAAACCAAGTCCCAGTTTCTGCCTCACAGAGATCAAACAATGCACGCCTCATATCTTCTCGAAAGGGATCAAAATGACAACCCGTAAGCTCGAGAGAATGAGATAGAGGAAAACAGAAAAGACCAAAAAAGCAACCCTTGTAACTCCACTATTGTTTAACAATAGATCTCGGTAGCTCAAAATGCATAATGTGTGTGCTTGAGCAATGGAAGGAAAGTGAACTGCTGAGGTCAGCGAAGTGAACAGAACAGTCTGATTATGGAATTCGATTGTTCAATCGAGTGGTATTGTCTTTTTCACTCTCACAGCTGAGTTCTTATCGCACCCTGTTGATATTGGATTAGATAATTTTCCGCAACTTGCGCAACTTGACACGGGACCGTTTAACCATCAGTCTGAAATGTTTATCATATTCCTATTGTTAGTTGCTGTCCAGTGATGTGATGACGGCACCACACCGCGCACAGTAGTAGCCTACTGGTAGTGCTAAAAGTAAGATATCAGTTTTCCTTTGTGATAGTTAGGCAAGTGCCACACTCCTTGTTGCTGCGAGTACATTTGTTGGATTGATAAAAGAACCCGATCCATAGTTTGGATTTTTTGGAACCGGTTTTGAGAACGCCTGATAACCTTATACTGTCTAAATGCTGTCACATTACTGTCTCAGCCGATTAGGGAGTCCAACATCCACCATTATAAGCCAAAGACATGTTAACATCAATCTGGTCGCTGGTTGATCAAACGACATTCATGTTAACTAGGTAGGCAGAATGCACTTTCATTGTGGCGAGTAAACATAAGGAATAAAAACAAATTTACTTCAGGAAAGTGGACTTAAATATCTCCGGCGCTTTTATCAACACAACAAAATACGACTTGCATAATATTGGACTACAGAACAGTTAGGTACTGTTCGAAGGTGCGCGCTTTACACTAATGCGTATTTTCCTGCTTTTCAGAAATAAGCTTTCTGCGGTAAATATCCCCACAAAAATAAATTCAGCGCGGACATATTCTGCGACTTTGATCAATCTACTTTCCAGGAAATTCCACATCAAAGAAGACTTCCTCACCTTCCGAGCACCGTATGGTGGTGCGCCGTCATGCTGAGGACGGACTTCTATTCCAATTTCCACTTACATTAGCCGTATGGTGGGTATCAAGTTGCTTTATAATCAATCTTGATTAGAATCTTGAGACGGTGTGGCAACGACGAGGCCGGAAATATATCTTAGCTACTTTACAATTCAAGATAATGAACTGAGAGCCTCTGCTGACACGAATAATAAACGACGAGGTTCCCCTAATTGAAATTCTTTGTGTTAATGGAAAATGGTTCCCTTCGTTGGAATACTTTGTCATACTAATTGTAGCAAACTGGGGTCTCTATCCTTCAGTTTCCATCTTTTACCTTGTTCTGCACCTCCAGTAGACTTGGGTTCACTGATCAACAACAACCCTGCACTCATTCTGGTTACACGGTTTTGCTTCTAATGTCTACTGATGAGATCTTTATTTCAGTGTCAGGTTCTCCGTATTAAGATGAAACTCAGCAATTGACGGCAAACGCTACTATGTTGGCAGACAACTATTCTCGCATTACCACAATTTATTTAAGCACCAGGAGATAAAGCGCTGCAGATGAAACCCTTTAAGAACAAAATTGGTGCCCAGTGCTGTTTTCTGGCATTCAGTAATTACTTTAAAAATTCCAAACTGGTGCCAATCAGACTCGTGTCGAATTGAGGGATTAAAAGAAGGACCATAAGATAAGGAAGAAAAACCACTGTGTTGGGACCCGAGAAAGAGTGCACAAACGCACGCAAACAACTGGATGAGTTGGTATGAAGCGGCCCAGCTTGGCTTATCTATCCACTCACGGACTGTTCGCCTTCAACTATCTTTCTAATATGTCCATCTCAAGAACTCTGCCCTTTACCAAAGTTTGTTGGCACCCACGTGTAACATGTGAGAGTGAAAAGCATAACCTACAAAAGCTAACTGGGTACCTGAAATTTCACCTCAGCCTTCCCGAATCAGATTACCGATCTAACTCATGTAACATTTCTTTTTTAAATCTTGTGTTTAGAATCAAGCAATTTCACTGGAGTTTTACGTTTTGGTCGTCATTTTAGTAGACTTATGTCCCATTAAAAATTTCTTTCACTCTAATTCATTTTGCAAATTTTGTGAATCATTGGACTGATAGGTCATAAACACGTCACAACATTTTCTTCGGAAATTATACATTACCAACGCCATTTTACCTCCGCTTCGGCCTCGGCCTTATCACATCGTTTTTTGGTTGACTCCAGTTCCGGTTGCAATTTTTCCTCGATGCACCGCTTCAGTTCCAAAGCGGCAGATACACCTTCCTCGCTAGTGGACAGAGCGACCAAAAGACGAGACGAAGCATTCGTCGCTTCCAACGCAGCTTGACGCTGGAGTTCTTCAATATCGCGAGCTTTGGAGAATTCACGTTCTTTGGTTTGTTTCAGTAGTGCCTCCAACTGAGAACGTTCCTCAAGCATGGAACTGACCACGCGATTACTCTGTTCAATTTGAGCGTTTCGTTCCTCCTGGAAAATGAAAATGGCTGGATGATCACACACACGTACATAGGCATTGGGGGAGGGTGTGCGGTAAATCACGGAGTTGGTAAAAGTGATTAATGCATACAGAGTGTCACATCATCTTCAGCAAAAGTCATCTTACCCGTTCTGTCTGCCACGCTCGCTTCCATCTTGCTGCCTCAGCCTGGACCGCCAAAAAACGTCTCCTCAGTTTTCCCATCTCTGAATCGGACTGTTGAATTTTTTCTTCTGATCTTGTTTTTTCCGTGGCTAACTCCCGTTCCAATTGGGTGATTCGACTCGTCAATCCGTCAGCACGTTGTCGAACAGCGTTCAATGCGGATTCTGCAGCAATTCGACGCTCCTGCGCGGTACGTAAAGCACGTTCTGTTTCCGTTTGTGAATTATTCGCTGTCGGGAGGAGCCAATAAGGAAACCCTGGTTTCAACTCACTATCATTCCGAATGTACATCATCAAATTTATGTCTACGTGATATGATCCTCCGAAAGAGTAAGCTCATCCAAACATGAAATGAGCATCACGGTGGACACAAAACCCATTCACTGAAAAACCGCCTTCGCACAACCACGAGATTCCCATTGGCATGCAGATCGTGTATTCGTATCGGTCGTTACCACGGCTAGTGCAGATGGTTCCAAAAGCTTCCTGTCACCGATGACCCGACTGGGCATCTCGCAGCAGCCGTACACTTAGTGTGAAAATTATCCTTTGGGTTCATTCCTAGTGAGACCGAGGTGTCCGGTCGGCAAGTGATACAGAGTTATTTCACTTCCATCACAACAATACAGTATCTGTGTGAAAAGGATATTTGTTTCTCTCGTCAATATAGATGTGGTCATTTTTATGCGCGTGCAGAACACCCCTCTCATGTGATACATCGTTCTGCATTTTAAAACTGTAGACTACTATAAAAAAATACAAATATTACGATGGTTACATTGCAGAGTGCAGTGCGATAAGCATCATCTATTCTTATGTATTTCGCGAGGCAATAATGCAACATCAACTTAGGGACATTCATTGGAGTAGATATCATTTTCGCCGTACGCTGAGGTAAACGATTGCTGACTGATGTCATGCCTACAATGAGTGGAAATCAAGTTCTAATGCTACAGATGGACATGGAATGGGACTGCTTTGAGGTAATATCAAAGAAACCGGACCATTATGGTCAACACACAGGTATGGTCAAGCTGTGCATGTACAAGTCTTCAAAGATTTGCACCGGATAAGAGGTAAGAACGAGAATACTATCGATATCGACTAACTGCCGTGCTTTATCGGTTCTCCAACTGATCAGTTACAGGATATTGCGAACCTTAGCTGGGAAGACAAGCGAGACAAACCTCATCTAGGCAGAGTGTGATGTCTGGATTCGTGGTGCGATAACTATAGTCACCCATGCATAGGAAACGTGTTCCATTTGAATGAAACAACTTTAAAACATGAACAGTTGAACATGCCCAAGAGAGGAAAAATACCTTGTTCGCTTTGTTTACGCAAATCTCCCAATTGTTTGGCTGCTGTCTCTGCTCGCGCCAATGCTTTCTGATAGGCTGCTTTGGTTTTGTTCAAATTTGCAGACAACTCGGTGTGTGCCTGACTCAGTTGGGACAGGCGAACAGTGGTTTGTTTCAATTCGGATCTCAATTGAACCAGTTCTTCCGACAGTTTCTGTAAAGATGAACAAATGATGACCGAAAGTGATCACCAGTAGCAAGAAATCGTGCGAAACAATATCATGCTCAATTAAAAGCCATAAAAGGGTTGATCGAGGACAGGTGCAGCAGTAAGGTAAGGATGTGGATTTTTATTGTCACTTCCTTTGAAAGCCGCAGGATCACCAGGGGTGTGTATGGGGCTGTGCTTGGCTCTTCTTCGCTTGTACCTCACGAAATGCTCCTGTGCATCACGCGTCTCACACAGCCCGGAATGGGTTATCTCAATCAACTATCAAGAATGGAGGTTTAAACTTGGATTTGGAGTTCAGGAAAGTCTACGATTCAATATGGGAAAGTAAAAGGGGGTCCCGGTAGATCATTTGAATTTACAAGAGTGCGGATCCACAGTTAGAAAACGAGCATTTACAAACTCTTTCTACCTGAATTTTTTTTAACTGTTCATCGAATAGAGGAGTAGTGTATTCCGTCACCACATTTTAACAAAATGACTTGAATTTAGACAAGCCCAAATAAAAGGATAAGTTATCAAGAGATTGGGGAGAGATAAGATACATTTGCAACAAATGTGAAAAACTAGTGATAAATGAGATAACGTTTGTTGATGCGTCCACAGCCCGGTAACCGATTTCGCTGATTTCCTTCTCCAGCCCGCCCACTCCCATTTGGATGAAATGAACAGAAAAAAAGCGAACATTTGTTCGATAGAGCTCCATTCCGGTTCACTTACTTTACTATCCTCAGAGAGAAACAATCAGCAATTCAGAGGCCCTGAGTTAAGATTCGGGAAAACCCAACGCGTAGTGGTTCTTCATTGTTTGGTGCCATTTGCTTCTTTGTTACATTTTCTACAAATTCTTTTTTCTATTCAATCATCAATCATCATGAAGGTGAAACAGCTTTCAAATCCAAATCAGGCGNCAGCTTTCAAATCCAAATCAGGCGACCGTTATCAACGTGACACTCACATCGAACAAACGTAGTGCTCTGCAGACAGTAAATGGTGGCTGAAGACCAACAGCGAATATCCGGGATGCAGGATGACCCAGTTTTGCACCTATACAGCACACATCGATTGTTTCAATGTCTTGTTCGGTGANGGTGATCAAACGCCGTCAAACAGAATTTTCAGCTTCACGAACAGTAACCAAATTAGGCTGGTCCGCGAAAGTAACCAGAACCAACAAAGTCGACGTGGGCCAAGCATCAGTAAAATATGCTCTCGTTCTAGGCAGGTATAGCCCGGGGCTGTGTGCACACCGGTTGAACGGAGTAAGAATCATTGCTCTCAAAAACAAACAAAACTAGCATAAAACCATTATTTTACGAATAAACCTCAACAGTGAGAACAAGAAATATTAACGACTGGAAGTGGCACTCACTTGTTTATTGGCTTCCGATTTCCGTAGCTTTGTGATAGCTGCCTCTCTATCAGATTCACTTTGTTTCAAACACTGTTGGAGTTCAGCTATTTGTTCCGAAGAATTGGTTTCC